TTTGATTGAGATCCAGTACTCATGAACGAGGTATTAGCCAAGTTCGCCATTGAAATTAGAAGAAGAAAAATAGGAACAAGATGAAACTGATTTAATAGAATGAAACAGGGTAATCTGAAGAGAACTGGTGTTCTAGAAAATACAGATTAATACCAAAAACAGAATTAATCGAATAAGAATTCAATTCCTGCTTTGATACCAATTGTTGGACCTGTAAATTCAGCTTTGATAATGATCTATTACTCTGGATGAACTCTAAGACGATTAAAGTGCAGCGGAAACAATTATAAGAACATAACAAAGTAATTAAACCAAGAACACACAGTTAAGATGATGAAGAAGATGAACACATGAGAATAGCTTCAAAAGTTTTCAATTCATTCAATTGAAAATTGACGATTACAATACGGAAGCACACTGATTACAAAGGCCTTAGCCGCTATATATACTAGTTCCTAACGACCTTACTGACAAGATCTTGACGCATGAAATCATCTAAGCCGTCCAAATAAAGTCGATTAAGTCCTAGTCACGTGAGAAGCACATGCAGCTAACAACCTTTGAAAAATAGTTGGAAGAGGATCTTCACAGAAGACGAAATCCGCAGACCCTCTGTGAGCCATCTCAGAGGCTCTGCAGTAATTGACTTGTAAGTTCTTACTGACAGAGAACCATTTTCTAGAACCTCTGTGAGAGACATCAGAGGTTCTGTCATACTTTACTTGCTTGAATATAAGGCTTCTGTCGTTAGTCCACTGTTGTCTTCTGTCGAGGATATCCTTCTGTCAAGACTTGCAGAATACTTTTTCATACTTTTACAAGAAGTGAATAATAGAGCTAACAACTGTAGAAAAACAAGAATTGTCAGTGGAAAATGAAAAAACTTTTACAAACAAAACGTTCCACTGAAATCAATCTTAAATCAGAGTGCTCTGAACTAAAAGCGGCTATACAAAAGAAGGAAAAGAGCTTTTAGAAAAGGAACGTGACAGACTAAACTCTGAAGCCCTAAAAAGTTATTTCCAAAAGGAAAAGGAATTCTTACACTAGAGCTTACAAAGAAAAGAGCTCTTGATTAAAAAATATCTAGATGCTCAGCAGGTGTATGAAAAGATTAATTCTCAACACGATAGAGTAGCGATAGGTTATAAAGCCCTAGACCTCACCTGGAAGAAGAAATCCATTATTGAGTTTGTGTTTAGGTTAGGAGCAAAGCAAAAATCAGATTTTCCATCTCTGCATAAAGCCTAACCCTTCAAATGATGTAAACTTGAAAATGGGGCCAAAATTCGAAGGTTAAAGTTTGAAAACATCTCTTATTCTTCAAAAGTATGCAACTAGTTGATCTACATAGCATATAGAATACACATGAGATATTTTGATTTGGCTCTAGCAATCTTGAACATCCTAAAACGAACAGTGATGTAGTTAAAAACTGAACCAGATGAAATTAGGAGTTCATCAACAGATAACTTTGTTAAAACAATGGATCCAAAATTAATGGATCACTTCTCAGAAATGGTGAGACAGGTCTTCGAGCAAGATTTGCTTGAGACAATGAATTATCCCTCTAATGGTGATACAAATTCTTCTGAGACTAATCCCTCAGATAGTTTTGAAAAAATTTCAACAAAAAGGATGGAAAAAGTCTCTCGCTCATGCACACGAGAATCTCAACAGGATAGAGTAGGGATAGGTTATAAAGACCTAGACCTCACCTGGAAGAAGAAATCCACTATTGAGTCTGTGTTTAGGTTAGGAGCAAAACAAAAACCAGATTTTCCATCTCTGCATAAAGCCTAACCCTTCAAATGATGTAAACTTGAAAATGAGGCCAAAATTCAAAGGTTAAAGTTTGAACACATCTCTTATTCTTCAAAAAGTATGCAACTAGTTGATCTACATAGCATATGGAAGACATATGAGATCTTTTGTTTTGGCTCTAGTAATCTTGAACATCCTAAAACGAACGGTGATGTAGTTAAACCTGAACCAGATGAAATTAAGAGTTCATCAACAGATAAACTTTGTTAAAACAATGGATCCAAAATTAATGGATCACTTCTCAGAAATGGTGAGACAGGTCTTCGAGCAAGATTTGCTTGAGACACTGGATTATCCCTCTAAAGGTGATACAAATTCTTCTGAGAGTAATCCATCAGATAGTTTTGAAAAAATCTCAACAAAAAGGATGGAAAAAGTCTCTCGCTCATGCACATGAGAATCTCAAGTTTTTAATGATACCTTTGTATTTAGAAATTCACACACGGATTTTCTTGACTCTTACTCAGAATCAGAGGTGGACTCGAGTAAAGAGCAAGTTGAGACAGTGATTGTGGCAACAGGACCAGAAGTTGTAAAACTTCCAAATGAGAAATCTAATAAATCTGGTTCAACAATAGGACAGATGAAAAAGATTCTCTTAGGTCCTGACCTCGTAAGCATGACAATAAGAGTTAAATTATCTCCAATGTTTGAATACAGGGAAAAGAATACCAAATCTGTTACCTCTGTATCAAAAAGCTTTAAACCTAATTCTAGATAGCCAATTAAGTTCACTCCGAAACAGAATGGGAAATCCGCTACTGACTCTATTTTCAATTCTTCTGTTTCAGATAGGCCTTTTGTTGGACCTTAAATTCAGCTTTGATATTGATCTAATACTCTGAATGAACTCTAAGACGATTAAAGTGCAGCAGAAACAAAAATAAGAACAGAATAGAGTAAATAAATCAAGAACACACAGTCAAGATGAGGAAGAAGATGAATGCAGGAGAATTGCTTCAAAGGTTTTTCAATACGGAAGCACCCAGTTTACAAAGGCCTTAGCCATTAATGGTTTTCCTAAATATGTACATGACCTTTTAAAGAAGTACAAGATGAATGATGCCTCTCCCATGAGGACACCAATGGTCCCTGGCCAGAAACTTCATAAAGACATTAATGCTCCTTCT